GTGTGTGTGTGTGTGTGTGTGTGTGTGTGTGTGTGTGTGTGTGTGTGCGTGCACTTTTACATTCACACAATAGTCTCTTAAAGCTTTTGGAGGATGCTGCATAAGAGTCGGAGGTGCTTTTCCCGTGGCTGTCCTTCAACTTCCCACTTACCTCCCAGAAGAGCTCTCGGCTTCTCCGCTGCCCATGTCACAGCCATTGTCCCTAATTAGGGATTCAGAAACCAAGCCCGTTCAATTAATGTGCAGCCACAATGCACCGCGGATCCACCCTGCTCTTCACCCTTTCACCTCCTCCCTGAAGCCGCCCCAAAAAGCCTTTTCAACCCCTTGTGCAGCCAGGCGCAGATTAGAGGAACTGGGGTAAAAAGGTTAGAGGAGAGGAATTAGTGTTGCGAAGCACAGCAGTGATTTGGTGAGTTTAATTGACCGAGCTGGAGCTGTTGGCAAAAGGGAAGTCTCATAGTGTGGTTTTACAAACATGAACGGCAGCTGAAAACATTTCTCAGATAATAACGTCAGGCTAGAACAAAATGAGCAGCAATAAGGTTTTAAGATCGCACAAGTCGACGTGAACAAGATAAGCTTTTAAGGGGAGGTTTAATATAAACGTGGGTGCTAGTTCTTTAAAAATTTAGCACAATCTGCTGCATCTTGATATTAAAGTGCCTGTGACATGCATATCCATGAAATGCCACATAATTGGCATATTTTCTTTTGAATTCTGCTCAGCTGAAGTGAAACAGGAAGTGACATCAAAGGGAAACTCTTTGAGAAAGAAAACCCAGTTTTTTGTTTATTAAAACAACATTATTTGAACTATGACTCTTTCTCATCTCCCTATGACAGTGATTTGAAAAAATCTAAAGAAACATCAGATTCTTCTCTACAAACTGTGTTGTTGGCCATTTTAGCAATGCTCTGTTCACATTCAGACATTCCCCTTAGACATCACTTCCTGTTTCTTCACATGCAAATATCTCAACAACTGTTCATCTCAGCG